AGCGGAAGCGCTTCGGGCGCCGAGGCTGCCGGAGCGGAGACGTACCCAAGGCTCTGCAGCAGCGACGGTGCCGGCGCGGGGACGGCGGCGGGAAGGGTGACGTAGGCGTAAGCTACTCGCAGAAGCGTTGGCACCACGGCCCAGGCAACCACGTACGCCGCAAACTTGAGGGAGAGCCTCGGCTCGTCGCGCTTTGGCTTACCGCTGCCGGCCGCCCGAGTCGCGCCGCCGCGCAGGCTCCAGAGACGCGCTCCGGCGCTCGACAGCCTCGGTGATGCGTGTTCGTGGCGGTAGGTGAGGGCTGCGGCGGAGCCGAGCGAGGCGAGCGCGAGCAGTCGCACAAACATTTGCCCCTCCGCCGTCGACGCAGGGCGCGTAATTCTTTTTAGACGACGGTACGAACCTCTATTTTTTCCTTCCTTCCTTACGTAACTGCCCAATCCCTTCCTTGCGGGGCCATATCCCTCATAGAGCACAAGACCCTGGAGGGCTATAGCCAAGGGCATAAGCCCTTAGGGTAGCCCTCCCTATAGGGCTATAGCCCTTTGTTTGGGCTCTCAGGCCCTGAGGGAGGGTGTAGAGGATGTAGAGTGTAGAGCGCTGTAGAGCTGTAGAGATGTAGAGCGCTCTGGAGCGCTGTAGAGCGCTGTAGAGCTGTAGAGCTCTACATCCGCCGCGGGACGAAGCGCCTCCGTTGTAGAGCGATGTAGAGCGCGATTTTGCTGTAGAGTTTGTTGTAGAGGCTCTACAGCCAAACCGCTGGGAAGGCAGTGACTCAAAGAGGTCGAGCCGCGCTAGTGGGGTGTCTCCGAGCTTACTGGAGCTCTGGTGGACGGCCCTGACTATCCCTGACACACAGAGAGTCACTCTGACTGGTACTGTGACATTTCAATCGCAAATGGGACCCGAATGGGACCGGAACGAATATTGGGACCCGGGTCCCACTGGGACCCAGGCGCTCTCCTGCCGCTGGCGTGCTCCGCCGACCCCGACCGTCGGCGCTGCACGTGAGGCATAGCTACCCCAACGCCCTGCGAGCTTCCCCGCGCGCCCTGGGCGCCTCGGCGACCCCCCTCGCGAACCCTGTATTGTTACTTTTTTTTAACAGTTGCGAGAAGCGTGTCGAATGAGAAAGATTGCCTCGCATATGATTTCTGTTATTAGCACGACTCCTTCTGCGACCGGGGACCGACCGGACCGCAACGCCGGCCGCCCCCCCAAAAGGTGTGTCCTTCTTGCACATGCCTGATCATGCCTTCTTCCTTCTTGTCCGCCATTCCAAACGACTAACGAGAGGCGCGAGTGAAGCCGCTTTTCCCTCCCGCTGACCTATCTGCAAGCCAATCCTTGCCGCGTCGCGCATATGGCACCACTTAACGTAAGCTGAACACCGGCAGAAGCTACTGGCAGTACACATTCGGTGTGAAACGAGAGACGAAAGAGAGTGCTCCCAGCCTCTACACAACGAGGCCTTGCTCACCCCAACTCTAAACAGCACCGTTGCCAATTGGCGCTGATTTCAGCTGCTCTGGCGCGCTCCCGCCCCCGCCACGCCGAGCTCGCACCACATTCCGCCGCACTCAATCTCGCACCGCGCCCCAGAAGAGCAGTAGGGCGACTCGGGACAGCTGCCGCACTTGTCAAAGGAGCAGCACGCGCGCGGCGCCGATTGGCCGGCGGAGGCGCCGCCGCGTGACCGTGGCGAGCGCGCCGCCGCCGCCGCCAGCTGGGGCGTGGCCTCACGGCAAAAGGCGCACCCGGCGCACTTTCGCGAGGCGCAAGCCGCCCCTGGGGCGGTGGCGTGGCAAAAGCCGTTGCAGACGAGCGGCGGGGGAGGTGGCGGCGGCGCCGCGCACTTCTCAAACTCGAGGTCGTCGATCGAAATGTCGGAGAGGTAGCCATCGCCCACGGTCCCGACGAAGCGCAGGCTCGCTCCGCCGGTGCGGCGCATCGGCGGCGTCAGCGGCACGAGGGCCCTCCGCCACGCGTCTGCGGTGGATCCGCCGGCGCTCTGCCCGTCGGCGCGCCAGAGGGTGGCCCACGCCTCGCCTTCCGCCGTCCGAGCCCGCAGCTCGAGCGATCCCATCGACACGCCGAACATGTGAAAGGAGAAGCCCACAGAGGCGACACACTCC